TAGATGTAAGTCAAGATATGAGGCAGACTTAACTGTATCTGTAGTATCCTTATCTCTAGTTCGATGGGATAGATTCGTTCAACATAGTCACCAAATTTTGTATTATTTAGTGAGAGAACATCATCTATATAGCGGAACGTAAAGTTAAAGGATATTGCTAACTTCTTATCTTTCTTCCTAAGAAGTTCCTGTATGAAGTCAGCCTCATAATAATAAAGAAACAAGTCGGCAAGAAGAGGGACACAATTGGTTCCCATAGGAATTCCGACAGTCTGTTGAAAAACACGTCCTCCAAACGTAACAAATATGTTGTCAATCAAGAAATCAAACATCTTGATAATGTCAGTTTCAGAGAATTTTTTGTTTGAATCAGAGTGATTCTTTACAAAGTAGGATTTATCCCTCCCCAAGACAAGATACCTGTATCTACGTTCGCCATTCTTTTTAATGAAACGAAGTAATACCAACTCTTTCAATTTGTCTTTTAGTTTGGAATGGGGAATACTTGTGTAAAGTGTAGAAAAGTCAAATGTTTTAATACTATTGCAAGATGAGAGAGTCTTAGATTGTATGTACTCTAAAAGCCACCTTGGTGCGTCTTGACATTTTTCTGGATATAGCTTGATCAGGAAAGCTCAGACCCAAAATATGAAAGCACTTGTAGACACTAAGGGTGTTTTCTTAATAACAAATTAAGAAATATACAGTGCATGCACTTTACACTAGTACATCGATTACAGTCAGTCAATCCAGTACTGTTCTGGAACTTTTCAAACAATTCAGTTCTTTGTTGATTTGTACAGGTAAATAGCAATTACTGAACAATTCTAAATTGACTGATTGCAAGCGATTTGTCTCAACATTACTGAATTTATCAAAGTAGATAAGTCTTGAGATTGAATGAAAGACTTATCATGGCATATTGTTCAGTTTCATTTTAAAACCTGTTCAGATCAAAATTGCCGTTTCGGTTCAAAATCGAAATATCTGATTTACAATAAGAACATTTTTGAAAAAATAGACAAACACGTATCAAGACTCAAAGTTTTTAGGTTCAGCATTTTCAGATATTATTATGATCAAAATGACCGTATAAGACTGAAATTCATTTACAAGTGTATTTATATCGCAATGAAAGATGAAATTTCGATTTCAATTCACATGACGCTTTTTTCTTTACATTTTATTAGACGACAATTTTTTTGAAAGCAAATACATTAAATGAGTTAAACATCAACTCAATATGTAAAAATCCATAAAAAGAGTGTTAATTGTATAAATTAAACGTTACCTGAATAAGCTTCAATCTTAGTTGTAGAATTAATTGATAACTAATAAAAGGACAGTTTACAATCAGAATATTTCATTTAAATAATCTGCTATTGAAGACGTGGTTTCTTCGCAGAAGCTGCCCTCTACTTGACCTCTACCTAAGCTGTACCGACTAAATGTGAGTTAGCATAAACGTATCATACCCAATATCCTGAGGACGAAATGTGTTTAAGTGTTTGAAAAGTGTAGGAAGCCTAACACATACATTTCTTACATGTATAATTGTTGTCAATATAATGAAATTGTATGCGACTGTCATACAAGTGAGAGGTTTAGCTAGCCATAAAACCAGGTTTAATCCACAATTTTCTACATAAGGAAATGCCTGTACCAAGTCAGGAGTATGACAGTTGTTTTCCATTCGTTTGATGTGTTTGAGCTTTTAATTTTGCCACTTGTAACAAAACAGCCTACATTAAAATAACACTTTATAAATTTGTTACTTCTAATATGTCTAAAGTATATTTCTAGAATAACCTGCATCAGGAAGGCTCAAACTCAAAAATCTGTAAACCAGGGATGGATAAATACCTGAATACGTAAGGAGCTTTATAAGCTAATGGGACCTAATAGCAAAAGCTAAATGCCTGAGAGAGTTGGAACCATAGATTCTATATAATTTTTTTAATTTATCAACGGAAAATTTAAGGAGAGTATGTCATAAATCATGTCAGTACCAAAGCACTGCTGACTGAGCTGATGATATTCTCGAGCACTTATAGTTCACCAGCAGTGGTATCGACCAGTGATAGTAACTGGAAATACCACTTTACTATGTTGGTGCTTCCGAAGCGATTTTCTAGATTTATTTTCACAAGGAACTCTCAAACCCAAAACTTTAAAAGCCAATGCTGTATAAGATAAATCCAGAATATGTGAGGAGCTACATTCATGTGACCAAATGGAACCAAAAAGTGCTACATTCATGTGACCAAATGGAACCAAAAAGAGCTACATTCATGTGACCAAATGGAACCAAAAAGAGCTACATTCATGTGACCAAATGGAACCAAAATGAGCTACATTCATGTGACCAAATGGAACCAAAAAGAGCTACATTCATGTGATCAAATGGAACCAAAAAGAGCTACATTCATGTGACCAAATGGAACCAAAAAGTGTAGCCAAATTCATCTATAGTCATCTTAGCCTGAAAGTGTTGGACCAATAGTTTGTTTTATATTTCTCAATTTATTAACGGAGAATTTAAGAAAAAATACCATGTCAGTACCGAAGCACTGTCTACCGATCTGATAATTACCTTGGCGAGAGTACACCACATGCGGAACCTTTTCCTTTTATTCCTTATAATTTCATTTAAATAATTAATCAGGAAGACAACTATCTATGAAATATTCTGGGTTAATGTTATAAAAAAGAAACATAATCACCATTTAAATTGATACGAAAAACTAAAGGCCATATTCTTTTATTAATACTTACCCTGGTATTGAAATATTCATTTTGTAGTTTCAATCAACTAATATATTACTTGATAAACATAACAGCTAAGAAAATGCATTTTAATAAATTAACAATATTAGTTTAAGCGTTTACATTTCAGCATTAAGCCAGATAAAAATCTTCTTCATGTTTTAGTTCATTTGATACGATAATTGAATTTCATTATGTTAGCAGATACACTAAGTTCAATTCATGTATTTCTTATTCAATAAAAGTTTGTCATAGACAAATGCTGTTCATAGCTAGTTTTGTCCTCACGTATATGTTGCAAAAATGTATCTACTAACATCTTTTTTTAAACAATTATTCTTTTTTAGAGGTAAATAGCAATGAAAATCAAACTTCGTGCTTATTTACAAATAATAATTAAGATCGAGTTTTCAAAAAAGTATTTTCTAATTCCCTTGATGCATGTTTATTATTGTCAGAGTTCAAAAGAAAAAAAACATGAAGATCATGCTTATAATTTAATACACCAGACTCGCGTTTCTAGACAAAAAAAAAATCCACTAGCGGTACTCGAATCATATCATTGGCAATTTCTAAACCAAATCAAATACAAACAATGGAGAGCCTTAAAAATTAAAATTCCCTAATGTGCCTTCATCTTGCTAAGGTCATATATGCATTTTGGGTTGAAAAACTTTCGTTCTAATTAAATTTTAACATTTAATGAAGAGTAAATTCACAGAAAATCAGAAAATTACCCCATCAGTTATAGTTGATGTCACTTTGATCTGGTGATCCCCACGGTTCTGAAAACTTCAATGATACTATAGTTATTAAGTTTCGAAAAGTTAAAAACCTAGTCGCGGTGGTCAATATATATATATACAATTGAGCGTAAATATTCCATAATTCGGTATGAATGGCAGGGTTTCTGGTACTCTTTTTCTCGATATTTCTAGACACATTCATAGCACATGGTTGAAGATTTTAAAAGCAAAAAAAAAGTATGTAGAGGTGCTGTGATAGTAAATATGGATAAATATATATAAAAAAGGAGAACATACCAAGGGTGGAACACCCCTACCTCCCTAAAAAACAAAACAAAACAAAACGGACAACACCATGGAAAAAAAGGATAAACGATCAGACGACAAACAATAGTCCGCAACACACTACACAGGAAACGTAACTAGATTGAGCAACAAGAAGACTAACATAAACCGGATGTGATGCTGCAGAAGTTCGGAAGTGCTAGCCCCACTAGTTGAGTTCATTGTGTGATTTTTTGCAAGTAAAAATTCGATGATAAGTCCGTATAAAAAGTCTCACTGACAATTTTTGTAACTTATCGACATCTACCTAATATATCCTTTCATTTATATAAGTTCCATCTCCTTCGTGATTGCACATTCCTTGCATCAATTTTACATAGCAAAATGTCACAGCAGATATTCTAATTTAAGTCCGACACACACAGAAATAATCATAATTATGCTACAGGTGTTAAACCACCAAATCATAGTACGTCAAATCCGTTTCATACGAAAAAACTATTCCCTTGAATTTGACGATTGTAGGAAATAAACCCTGCATTTCATTGCAGAAAATTATTTTTTAGTCATAAACGTATATCTTGGGTGTGTCAAAGAACCATTTTTTTTTTATTTGATGTTTCTATAAAATATTTTGGAAACTTGAGGTGACATGGTTACTAAAGCTTGTAAACTGGAAAAAACGGGGTGAAAATTTGATTGGTTTACATCAGTGATGGTTATTATTTTATATGCAATGAAATGTTATGTGAAATGTTCACTGTAGTACTGGACAGGATAAAACTTTACTCATGCCAAGTATTTCTTTAAACAAAGATAAATTCTGCCCTATCTTTTGAAAAATACTAATTAACAAAGACTAATAGGGAAAAACAATGGTTTCTCCTATATGTAACATAAAATAATTTGACTCCAACTCAAATTCAATAAAAAGCGACGCAGCCATCGAAACGATCGAGGCTGACTGAGCTCATGCGACATTTTGTATTATATTTATGAAGCCTCTGAAAAGTAATAATGGCTGTCGGAAGATAAACAATAATCTCGTTTTTAGAGGCTGATTTCTCGTACAATTTATATAGTTATCCAGATAAAACCTAGTTCAGTATTATAAGTTGAGAGTTTTTGTTCTTCATAATTTTTAAGTTAGATGTTTTTTAAACATTGATGTCATTACTGTTATCACTTATATTTTTATTGCAGTGAAAACTTTGGTATTCGACATTTCCCACGCATTAGCACCTCCAGATTTCATTAGTGAGTGGATGCCAATAAAAGCCTATAAATATCCCGAAGTAGACATTTTACACGGTTTAAATGAACTACCTCTAAAGGTCGAAGTACAGGTCAAAGTGTTTGATACGTTCTTGAATAAACACATGTTTTTCTTAGCAACCGGATCTGCACAGAAAGGAAATGATAATACTTTGCCGTTTGGAGGAGTTTTATACCTATATGATAATGAAACAATAAAGATATTGGCACCAGGACCAACAGATTGTTTCCGACAAGAGTGTACAGGTTCACTTGTGTATTTGGGTAAGTATGTTTGCTATCAGCTTGAATTTACGTACCTTCTAAACAATTTGCATACCAGTTGACTATCCACAATATTTTCCAGGCTTATGGAGGTATTTAGGCTAAAATTAGTTAATAACATATTTGTCAAGCATGGATTGCAAGAAAACATCCTGTCAAATTATTTTACAGATATTTTAGATAAAGGTCATACGAGTCTCGTCTCTTTGTATTTCACCATGAATGAATTTTCGAACATATTTATATTCATAAAGTATTTAATTGGCTTCTTATCAACTTTCAACAGCACATTTTTTACATTATCGCAAAAGAATGTGGTAGTTGTCGCCTACAAATAACAGTATGAATTAGATCTATGTATACTGTAATTGCTTAAATCCAGTTTATGTTGGACTCCTCTGCAAAACTCTTTGAACTGAGAACAAATTTTAACAACTTAACATAAACAATTTATAAAGATGAATACGAATTTAACGAGAACAGAGTATTTCCAATAAAGAAAAATCAAATCAAAACGTATGAGATCTTGCTTTATTTTTTTACTTCTAAGCAAAAGAGAGGCGAAATATACCAAAGGGATACTCCAAATCATCAGCCGAAAACAAACTGACAATGAATGAATGAAAGAAAGGATACCAAGAATTTTGGTATGACCATCTGTCGCTAAACAATGCAAAAAGGTCAAAATTAATTACAAATACAAATCTACAAGAAATCGAACGCCACTATCGATACTAACAATTTTTGTTATATACCGGTATATCTCTATGTATGTTTTCATCGATCCAACATGTCTGCGCCCATGTTAAGACTCATTGAAAAAACGATAAATTGATAAAATACTTTTTGTTCCGACTTAAGACCTTGCCATGCTTGCTATTTTCTAAATGGAAATTTAAATTTAAGTCTAAATCAAAAACGTTCTTTGTTAAAGAAGTCTTACATTTTATTCAACGAGGACGTTTGGTCTTTATATATCTTTCTTTATACCTTATGAATTTATTCATATATTGTAGTTTGTTATAGAGAAAAACATTGTGACGAGGACTGTTAATGATTTTTTTATGGGGGGGGGGGGGGGGGGGGGGGGTTGTCTTTTAAAGAAAAACTTATTGACGCGGAGAGGGAGTGGTTTGGCCACGATGCCAGGCTTTAATTTTTATTGGCGAACAACAATCGCGGGGTATTCAGAAATTATGTTTTATTTCCCCCATAATGCAGCACATATGACTGTCTGCCCGTACGATAACGTTATCGTTACACGAATTCATAAGAACATAACTGATAAGCTAAATTTTACTCGTAATTTTAAGGATATAACATCATAAATGTTATTATAAGAATTAAATGCTTTGTTTTCTACTTTCATAGTGCGCTCCTTTTGTAGTATAAATCGCGGAAATTCATTCTAAAATAAATGCTCTCATATACCTTTAAAGAAACATATCAATTCTAGAGCCTAATACTTGTAAAATGAAAAAGCATGAAACTACCATTAAAAGAGCTTTTAAATAGATAGAAATAACGCATGAATCATAGTTACTTAATTAAAGTGGCAAAAACTCCAACACAAACTATTTACATTGCATGGACTAGTTGAAATGGATTAACAGTTTGTGTCTATTTTAGACTATACGCCATCTAATTACCCATCGCAATGACCTCCGAAGAGTGCCGAATGTCATATATAAACATAGATATAAGTACATAGACCGGCACGTGTAATTGTATAACGGCGGTTTTTCTAGGTCTGTTTGATTGCATGTCATTGATTCCAAAAATATGTAAATCATCCTGAATAAGAATGATTTTTGTGTGAAGAACCAGTTAACGAAATGGATCTTTACCGTGGCTCGGATGAATATGATTTTATTCAAATTAGTTGAATTATTGACTTTGAAGCCAATAATACATTACCGATGTGTTGGAGCTTGTTTTGACGAAATTGGATCAAACTGACTACCAATATCGAAATATTATTTTACAACTCCGCTGTTATAAACGAAGAAAATCAATCTTATTAAATTCTATCGTTTAATGACTCCTCAAAGAAAAATTAAGTTTCCCCTATATTACCCATATAAAATTACTTTCGAATATGTTAGTTTCAATGTATTTTAACGAAAAAACAAGGTCCTTGACCCCCAGTTTTTATATTGAAATTTGAAAGTACATTGACCAAGAAGTCTTTCACAGAAGCATAGGAAAAATCTATCGTCGAACATTTAGACACCCCATCTACCTTAAATCAATAAAATCTGTTCCTATCAGATAACTGCAGTTATGCATCGCCATGCATATATTTCCTTTTCTGCTGATATTTGTCTTGCGAAATTGGTCCTCAATATTGATAATACATTTTGAATATCATTCTATTTCATGGGGAATTTTTTAATTATAATTGTTAATGATTCACAGCAAAGAATAATAATTAAATATTTACCTTTCGTAAATACAAATAATGAATAGAAAGTAAAGATGCTTGGATATTTTTTTGTTCTTCATGTTGTAGTTTTTCTTAATTCAAGCATACAACTAAATGATTTTTTTTTATTTGCTTTGTGAATAATTTGCTTCTTTATATGTTTTCACTCGCTGACTTGCATCCTTGATAACTATTGAGTGGTCATAAACAGTTTAAAATAAAATTGAGAATGGAAATGGGGAATGTGTCAAAGAGACAACAACCCGACCATAGAGCAGACAACAGCCTACATGTACCCAAGGCAATGCAGTTGACCAAGAAGTCTTTCATAAAAATGCAAAATGTAGATGGATCATGAAGTTTAAATTTCATTATCTATATTTATTTTTTAAACCGTCATTATGTTTTCGTCTCAAGTCAGGATTCTTGTTTATTAGTGGTAATCAAATATGTATCTGAATTGCTATGCATCTTTTTTGTTTGCAACTCTTATGAACAACCTCTCGTTTAAGCATGTTCGCATTGACATCGATTCCTGAAAGGATTTAGATGATTAAAAATACTATTTGATACATCTACATTAAGTGCATGTCATTAAAAAGAAAGAGTCGCTAGTCTGAATAATGCTTCCATGCTACTTTATGTGACCTTTTAAACAAGCATGTTAATACACCTGGTCGGCCTCGCTAATATAAAGCAGGTTCATATTTGTATCAAGTTAACCTTGTACTAGTCTATTATTTAACATCCATCCTGACCGGCTATTTTGATTCACTCATAAATATTGGTATTTATAATTCAGCTTATTTAACAGATTATCATTTTGGAAAACCATGTGACCACATACAGTTGTAACGTTTAAGTGAATCTGCAATATCAAACAACCAGACAGTTTGGAATACTCAAAAGTAAAATAACAAAATTACCGAACTCCAAGAACAATTCAAAACGGAAAGTCCATCATCAAATGGCAAAATCAAAAGCTCAAACACATCAAACGAATGGAAACAACTGTCATATTCCTGACTTGGTACAGGCATTTCCTTATATATAATGGTGGATAAAACCTGGTTTTATAGCTAGCTAAACCTCTCACGCGATGAACTACAAGCGAATGAAATTAATTTATATTGAAATGAACGTCACTAAGATTCGGCAATACACAGGATAGTATTCGTATTTCAAAACAACAAATTCTTTCAATTCTATTTGATTATTTAGTTCTTTTTGGGGGAGTCTTATTGATGCTAAAGGGTTTAAATTGAAATTAACTTTGGACAATTCGCGCACGTTTTAGAAACTGCATTGCCTTGGGTACATGTAGACTAGTATACGTGTATATTGGACAAAGGGTTTATGGGACAGAAACCTCACGATACAAGTAAGCTAAAATAGCAAAACAAGCACTACGATGTACCTCTCCTTATTTTTCTATGATTATAATTTCTCAAAATACTAGTAGCGCAGGATGCTTCATCACATTTACCACTTTAAATACTATTTGTACTGGAATGAACTTCAAAAAGGATCATGCATCACCGCCATACAAAAGTGATATTGCTTATCATTTATTTCCTATTGATTACTTGAAATGTTTAAAATTGCTTCATATTAATTCTTTTCCAATCATGCCGTTTGATCTGTCATCGATGAGGAAACTGATGCAGATAATTACATGAGCTCATAAGATAATTACTATAGTCGTAGTTAAACTTCAATGGTACAATGTATATTAAACAGCAAATAGTGCATGTAGTTGACGTTTTGTCATAGTTATAAGAAGATGTGGTATGAGTGCCAATGAGACAACCCTCCATCCAAGTCAAAATTTATATAAGTAAACCAATATAGGTCAAAGTACGGTCTTCAACACGGAGCTTTGGCTCACACCGAACAGCAAGCTATAAAGGGCCTCAAAAATTACTAGTGTAAAACCATTCAAACGGGAAAACCAACGGTCTAATCTATATAAAAAACGAGAAACGAGAAACACTTATGAACCACATCAACAAACGACAACTACTGAACATCAGATTCCTGACTTAGGACAGGTGCAAACAGCGGGTTTAAACGTTTTAATGGTACCAAACCATGTATGTTTCATAAGAATCCGTATTTTGATTGGTAAACAACAGTCGCGAGGCGTTCTAATATTATTGTTTATTTCGTAATTAAAGTCGACATTCCGATGACTGCATGTGCTTCTTTGACATAACAACAATATTAAGGAAAACAAACGAAAAGATAGATTTAACGCGTAATTTCTTAAATGTGTAAATATGTTTAAGTGTAATGATAAGATTGAAATTACGTGCTTCTTTTTTTGTAATTTTATAGAAATACCTGAAATATCAACTTTTGAGCTTCGTTAAATCAGATATGGTCAACTTTATTTAAAAAAATAAGATCACACTTAGGTCAATACGAAATTTTTAAAACATTAAAAAACATTAAACAGTTAAAGTTATCCCGTGAAGTGCTTTAATCTTAACAATACATATTAGTTTACAGGAGTTTATTTCCACATTTATCATTCGATATTATATGAGTTCCAAAATATAACAGCGGAACGATGTTGATAATTGGCTTTTTTGTAGATATGAACCTTATTGTCCATATAGCTTCATATAAATAATATATAAATATGACATTTAATTTTCTCGTGATTGAATATTATATTTACAAGAAAATAGAATAGAGTTCATAACAGCGTGGATGTGAATATCTGGTATTTAAACAATTATATCGTGTCACGGGTGTCATTCGGTAAATCGAGAAAAAAGATCGTGAAAGAATAACTAACGATGGTCAAGCATTGCGATCAGATCGTGAAAAATCTAGTATCGGATCGTGAATGCAATTAGGTGTAATTCTACTTCAAAATCTGTGAAAAATCTGCTGTATTTTCAAAAAATGGAACAAATTAGAAAATAGAAATATGTCTGTCAAAACTATTCAACTTCCTTAATAGTACCGTGCACTAAGTTAAAGAAGAAATGCGGTACTTTTTAAGAAAACACAAAAGGCGACGTGCAATCCTATGAGAATCATTAAGAAAAAAATCACGTTTTGTATTTATAATGGCACATTCCAATATATCATGATTTATTTGAAACTTAATCTGTATTTGTGTCAGATAGTCCAGTAAAAGAAAAAGTTCATATGATTTTAGAAAAAGTATAATTTTGTTGATTTTTAATCAAAATTGATCGTGAAAGATCATTCAACGCATTATTTTGATCGTGAAAGACAAGGCATGACCAGACTGAATGATATACGGGAAAGCTTATATGTCATTATGTAAGGAGCCCCTTACGAAGCCCCTTAAGTGCCATGTAAATATACATATTTTCATTTGCCGGAGTTTTAATCTGGTGCGCACTAGTTTGAAAAATCGTGCGCACGACTTTTCAACTCGTCCGCACGACATTTAAAAATTGGTGCGCACAACTTTTAAAAACTTGTGCGCACACTTTTCAAACTGGTGTGCTTGACTTTCAAACTGGTGCACATGACTTTCAAACTGGTGCGCACGACTTTAAAACTGGTATGCACTAGTTTCAAAGTCGTGCGCACCATTTTTTAAAGTCGTGAGCACGAGTTTGAAAGATGTGCGCACTATTTTTGAAAGTAGTGAGCACAAGTTTGCAAGTTTTGCGCGCCAGTTCTTGAAAGTCATGCGCATCAGTTTCAAAGTAATGCGAACGAGTTTAAAAGTCGTGTGCACGATTTTGAAAACTGGTGCTCACTAGATTAAATCTCCAGAAAACGAAAATATATATATTTACATGGCACTTAAGGGGCTCCGTAATTATGCTTTACTATACTGACTGTATTATCAACTACAAAAACTTTTTTGTTGGCGTCTTTGTTTGATTTAATTGTAAGTGTGTTTGAACGTTAAATTCAGTTGTGTTGTATGTCTGTGCTATATGTTTACAAAGTTTTAGCTGCTGGATCCCTGTAATTGCCACGTAACCAATTATGTATGTTTGGGTTGTTATCACCCAATAACGGAACATTGAACAACTGTCATACAACTGGGCGTATTAGCTATCTAGAAAACCAGATTGAAACCATCATTTTCTTAGGAAAATGCCTCTGCCCAAGTCAGGAATATGACAGTTGTTTTCCTGCGTGTTTTTTTTTAACAATTTTTACAAAAATCTATAAGAATCTTCGTTTTATAGATATGAATATGCATAAAAATTAATGGAAGTCAGATGAGACAATTTTTACTTTTCAAACGCCATAAAACTTTTGCAGGACGGACAGACGAACTTATGTTGTCATAAGAAAAATAGTCGGTGTGGTATTATCAAACAATCAGATACAATGACACTGAACCATTATACTTAGCCCTATTCACAAACAAAGGTGAAGCAGAATAAGTCATTGCAAAATTCAATCTTTTGTGATACCAATTACAAATATTAATTATCATGTGTTTAAAGAAGATTTGATCATTTTCGTAGATTTTTGCAATAACGAATGAGCGGCAACAGCTCTTTCACGATCCTTTTCACGATCATCAAAATGCGGTACCCGATCCTTCACGATCCGAAATATTACAATTTTTGCAAAGTTTCTGATTAAGGTCAAGTTACAGTAAATGGGCTATGTCACAGATTTTCATAAAATTTTGCATACACCTTTGGCTCGTTAAACTTTCCAAGATTTTTTTCTTTGCACAGTTTTGTGGCTTATTAAAAAAAATACGAATAAATCTAACCTTACGACATTGTACGAGTTGAACATGTTAAGAGTAACTACGATCAATTTTCATTCTAAGATATGTTTTTGTAATAAGAACCTCGTCCTTTCATAAAAAATAATTTTAGTCCTCTGGACTAGATATTATTTGCACGGAACAAATTTTACACATGATTAGGTTTTGTTGATCTTTTGAATATGTGTTTACAAAATTTAACTCGTGGAAAAATCATCCAAGAAGCATATGAATCCGGTCATTTATGTGTAAATTTACGTTGACATTTGAGTAAATACATTAATGGAAATGTCGGGTATATGTCAATCAGACAGCATCACTGCGACACAAATAGCCAAAAGACATCTAATAATTCCATGACAAAAACATGTATACATTGTCTGTTCCTTTAACAAGACATGTATCTATCGTGTTCCTTATTTTTAAAGAAATTTGAATTTATATAAGGGTTTGTTTTTTTTGGTTAAAAATAAGGAATAATTGTGTGTAAAAGGTAAAAAAGTCAACGTTTGGAACCGTTTCTACTCTCATTTCTGCACTATGAAATACACGTTATCTATTTTCCCTTTATCACTGTTTTTTTTTATAAAGGTAAACAATTTGTCGAGGCAATTGCCTCATTGACACAATGGAAGCTATATGTACGCCTCTGGTCCATGTCTGTAAAAATAAATATTGGAAGAAACCCATGTCAATTTTGTTTAAAAAAAATAAATGGAACCACCTTTGTATAAGCCTTGAAAATGAGTTGGAATCATAATTATCTTAGAAATGCCCAATGTTTTATATAAAGTAAAATGTTAAAAATAAAAAAAATGAAATGTATAAGTAAGTCAGACAGTGGTAATAGTACATGTTTAACAGTTCATATTCTATACGTACATGCAGATCATATAACTATACAACTTTATGATCATTTACGGTTCATTGGAACTTAATTCTTCGATAAACCAATTTATATAAATATTCAGTTTTACATTTTAAAACCATCAGCAATAGCAACATAACCCTGTTTGGGCAAATCTTAAAAACAAGAAATTGTTGCAATAGCTCATCGCTTGACAGGAAACTAGATTTTTCTCAAACGTTAATAGAAAAGCTTATTAAGCTAATTGTCCTATGAAGTTATCATTGCAGTTTTTTGTCTGTTTCAGGGAATAGCAGTAAATTTCATGGTAATAGTTCAATATCTAGATCGTTTTCAGAAGGAAATGTGAGAGCAAGAGTTTGGAGAGCATGCTCACTTCCGAGACCTCAGTTCATCTCTGATGAAATTCCAATGAGCTCAGGTCTAGTATATAGTCTTAAACTTTATTTTAATTTACCGAATCCATTTTAGACATTTATTTAGAATGTTGTGTAGTAACATTCAAACAGCGCCTGCTTTCTCCGATATAAGATATATGATCCGATATTCAAGAGCTTGCGTTTCCTATCATGATTTCCTTGATTGAGGGTTACTGTACTGCTTACAAGGAATTTTTCCTTTCAGAAGCACCAATGTTCAACCCCGTTTTTTTTGTTTGTTTGTTTTATTTTTTTTTTGTTGCTATAGTCTTTAGTGTTTTGTGTAATTTTTGTTAACGTTGTTTGTGCTTTCGTCGTTTTAATTTTTGGCCGTGGTATTACCTGGTTTTTTAAAAAAAAAACCTTTGTATCTTCGCTCTCCCTTTTTTTCTAAGTGGACGATTTGTACTTTTGAGAACAATCCCTAATAAAAATTCAGCGTTCAATTTGAAAAATTCTACTTAAATTAATTGAATATTCATGAAAATAAGGAGATGATATTTAATATAATTTCCAAAGAGATAAATATCTACCAAAAGACCATAGATCTAGAATTTAACCAACTAAGGACATCGCATGACATATTTGCCTATTAGTCTCGCTTTTGAACATTCAATTGTTCAAACATGAATAGAAAAAACACAATTTCAAAAAGTTTGTTTAGTCCGTCGTCATCATCTCAGAGATAACTATAATTATTAGTTTTGGTTTGATTCCTTTCGTTGACCTATAATCCAAGATCTTAATACATGGATATCCTCTATAAAATGAATATGTATATCTGGTAATAAAATGCTGTTTCGGTGACAATATCTCATATTCTTTTTTATTATACCAATTCATTGCATTTTTAAAGATGCATGTGATAAGGACCATTTCATGGTTGTGTGCAGTGCTATGAGTAAACGTATGATACAAAAGTCTGGCGCCCGATGCGGGATTCTGACATAGTAACCCTCATCATATAATGCCCATACGCGCTTGGGGCATGGACCTCCCTTTTTAGTTAAAGATTTTTATCTCACCTTGTCCAACTGGCAAGTTTGAGCTTTTCTCATCACTTGGCGTCCGTCGTCTGTTGTCTTTCATCGGCCGTTCCTTAACTTTTACAAAACTCTTTTTCTTTGAAACTACTGCGCCAATTGGAACAAAACTTGGCCACAATCATCATTGGGTTATCTAGTTAAAATGTTATCCAATGATCCCGCCTACCTACAAACAAGACCGACATGGCTAAAAATAAAACATAGGGGTAAAATTCAACTTTTGTCTGTTATCTTGAAAACCGCTATAGATAGCGAAAACCTGACAGGACAGAAATATTCAGAATGATGAAATCTACCTACTGCCCATTACATCAAAACTGTCAGACGACTTCTTATAGGAATTATCGCCCTTAGTTAAAAGTAGAATTTTTACCATTGTTTTTTTTTTCTTTTTCGTTTTTACCTTTGGTCTTGAAAACTATAATAGATAGAGATAAACTTTAAATCGTGAAAAAGATCAACAAGACAAGATCTACAAAAAATCCAACAAAACCGAAATCGTCAGATTTTTACCCTTTTTGTTGTTTTTGGCAAAAAACTAAAGAAGAAAGAGAGAAATTGTAGTTAGTAAAAATTATCAGCAATGCAAGATCAACAAAAACTAGGTTCAGGTTATGAGTTATATTCTTGTTTACAATGTTGGAGAGTATCCATTGTTGAAGATGCACATAGACCTAGGTGAGCGATACAGCCTTTTTGAAGCCTCTAGTTTTATCAAATTTTCTTAAATATTTCAATTTTCCCCCTTATATATGTGTGTTTGCTCTTATTCATACAATCTCAAAATAACAAAATACAAGTAGAGTGGCAGCATGTATGAATTAGAGTTATTTAAAAATTCTGCACAAGTCGAAGAAAAAGAAGAAAAACAAAATGACCAATACGAAAAACAGCGAAAAGACAAAAAAAAGTCCACAACTTTAGCATAGTGCAGTAAACTAAACAGCACGAACTCCATCAAAACTCGGGTTGAACTCAGGTACTCTGGGTTGCCGCCTATACCGGAAGTGACACTCGTATGGCAAGAAGAAACCTGGCGACAAAATTCCATTAATTACTTCACAATTAAAGAAAGTACGGGACTGCACCTACAAGTTTAACATACATGTACCCGTGGTTATCTTTGACACATTTATATTATAATTAATGTTCCACGAGGTTTGAAGGCTTTGGTTTGAAAACCGAAGGAGTTTAATACACTAATTGGCCCTTCCCGAAGATTTACAGTTTTACTAACTTATGACAGAAGATAACTCAAATAGTCTAAATTGTATAAGGGAATGTGTAGTAAATATTGAATTTCCCTTTTTGTTTTGTATCACAATAAGAAACGAGTTCCGTCGCCCCAATGTTTATTTTTATTTTCGAAACAGCTATCTTCTTATATCTTATTTTAAAATTCTATCGTTCAGTTTTCTATCTATTCGCATAAAAAAATTTCTCATGTATAATCTTTACGAAATCTGATAATTTGGCATAACCAAATAGCTTGAAAAAGTCTGATGACCAATACTTTTTTATAATTTTTTGAGAGAATAAATAAAACTTTGTTTTAACTACGTTTTGGCAAAGTGATAAAAAGTTATATCGTTTTTAATTGAAAAAAGTTGATTAAAGGCATAGTGTTTGGTGATTTTCTTTCCTGCAGGTCAAGTACGGAAATCTTACTCTCGTTCCGCACGAATAAAGATGCTGCCCAATCAAGACAGTAACCATGAATCTTTTTTTATTGAAGATTTTCGACTTTATTCATGCATTATTCTTGTTTTACATTAGGCACATTCAAGTCTTTAACACATGAGCAGAAACCAACGTGGGTTATTGTAAGAGTACACATTGAGCAAGGCTGGGTTTATGAGGCACAAGGTAATACTATATTGTTATTGCTTAAGATTCTATAGAAACATGTTAATTGACAATCAATAGATGTTTTGCCATCTTGTCTAATCATCGGTTTCATCGAAAAGATGGCATCAGACTAAAACCGGAAACACGTTTTTCCTTAACAACCGAAGGACCATTGCTTTTGGCAGGTAAATTGTTGTATCGTCTTGGTACCTGTTTTGAAAATAACTTAGCCTGGCACTTTTGCTATTGTTTGTATTACCAGAACATACCTAAGCCTAGCAGACATACTTCTTAATAAGGTGTTCAAGCAATACACCTTATCGCTATTTGTCCGCCATTACTGACCCGTAAGATTTTGACGTCATCAGAGAAATTTTCTGACGCAACAATGCAAAAGTGATTGTTGTATGACGTCAATTAAAGTTCAAATGTCGCAAAATTTTGGATCAAGTGTCGCAGATTCCGAAATAGCAATTAAGTCTATTGTATTTCTAAATAAATAACTAAGAATGATGAAGGTCTCATTTTTTTTGTATTGATTGCGCATTTATATATATAAAACATAAAACACCACCGCCAGACTTATGACATATACTGTAAGCACAATATTGACGATGCCAATGTCCATGGATACATATGTTGTTAAGTTGGACAGTGTGTATATACTTGAACTATAAAAAATGTTTATGAACAAACAAATTAGGATCGGTGCAAACAAAGGTGGATACAATTTTATGGAATTGATGAATAAGCAGCAATAGAAACCTACTCTTACTAAGTTATTATTTTTAATAACTTGTGATCAGATATAAGAGAAAATCAAATAATAACTGTGCCTTTTTTATGATGTATATATATATCGAGTGTTCTGTTATGGTATTTATTTGGGTAAAATTTCTTCTGAACAACAGGTAGCGTCTTTTATGAAACATCCAGTTGTCCGTTTGGAGGTGTCGTATTTGCATTTAATGATGTTGAAATCCGATTATGGGTTCCAAAAAGAGGACCAGGACCGTCAAAAGCTAATGGTAAGAATTATCGTTGAAACGTCAAATCATAGTATACTATTTCTTTTTTTACACCAGCTAAATCAAGAAAATTCCGTTAACAACTTTACAAAAATCGTCCCTAGAGACATAGCAATAACACAGGAAAAAATAAACCACGAAGACTTAAGAAAATCCGTTGAATTGCTTGTTTCAATCTATAATAATTCTCTTTTATGTTTTCATTGGTTTATTTCATTAGGGATTTTCTCATTAGGATCAATTTTCAATTACTCTAAATAGCAATATTTCAACATCTAGTAGTAATCAGAGTGTGAAACAATATTTGGTCTCTAAAAAAACTAATATATACTATTTGTTTCTCTTTAAATTTGCTAGAAACAACATGGATATTGTCTATCACTGCCGAATCAGACTAAACACCTGAAAATTGATATTTGCCCTTTCTGTAGTGAGCACATACCATTTAGGAGTAAGATCAAAATTTGGTAGGCTCGATGTTTGAATAAAGTGCCCGGATAGGGTGACATGTCTGAGGACTCCTATTCGTAAACTAAAACATAACGAATATGAACACAAGGGGATTTAGTTTGATTGTCGGTGAGACAGATATACACCATGAACCAAATGAAGTGGAAGTAAGGAATAATAGGTCAACGTACGGCTTTAGAAGTCCGGTTTAGCATGTCAGTCTAGTACACAGCAGGTCTATATAGTAATATCACATCAACCTGTTTTCGTCCTGCTATACATAAATCTATATTATATATATATATATATATATATTAGGCCGTTAGTTTTCTCAATTGACTTATTTCATATTTTTCATGTCGGGGCCTTTTATAGCCGACTATACGGTATGGGTTTTTCTCATTGTTGAAGTCAGTACGGTTGCCCATAATTGCTTACATCCACTTCATTTGAACTTTGGTGGATAGTTGTCTCATTGGCAATCATACCACATCTCCACTTTCCCATTGGACATGAAACACCAATCCATCCATCCATCTTAGCTAGCTATAGAAAACTTGAATTTTGAAGTACGTACCATATTTCACCATAACGACTCAGACGAAATTCAAAATTATTACACGGTGTTTTATTCACAACTTTTTTACCAATTACTTGACAACTCCGAAGCAAAAGAACAACGCTTTTATTGATTTCTTAACCGCAAAATAGCAGTAAGGAAAAAGCTTTCACCTCACGATGAATTCCTAATCAATAAATAAGACATAGTCATTACTACAAGTGAAATACCATTTTTCGTCAGTTAATATCTTTTATACTAATGCTAATTTTCTCATTTTATATACAGGTGTTCCGTTTAATGCTATAAATGGTTGGGGAGAATCTGGTGAATTCGGATACAGCGAGACAGTTAGAGTGAGGGCATTTGTATGGAATTTTAAAAGTTTTGACTACAATCCAATTGTCCTGGAGCAAACCTCGTACATAACGATTTCCAGTTTTATATCTGTTCCAGCTGGGTACTCATTTCAAGATAACTACAAATTGCTTCTGTTTTCGGTAAGTGGAAATCAGATCTTTCTTTACCTTCTCAGTTTTAGAATACTTAATTTGTACTTACATGAGCAACACGATGGGTGCCATATATGGAACAGGATCTGCTTACCCTTCCGGAACACCCTTGATCGCACCCAATTTTTTGGTTGGCTTCATGTTGCTCAATCTTTACTTTTCTTTGTAGTGTTTTATAGAATGTGTGTTGTTTCGTCTTTTTCGTTTTTGCCATGGTGCTATCAGTTTATCTTCGACTTATGAGTTTGAATATCCCTTTGATATCTTCTGCCTGTCTTCTATTAACTTATAATGATGCTAACATATACCCTGAGGATTATTAACTTATAATGATGTTAACGTATACCCTGAGGATTATTAAGTTATAATGATGTTAACGTATACCCTGAGGATAGCTTTTATATTTTTTTTTGTAAACTAAGTTTTTTCCACAATTTTTTACCGCAATTACCAAGAGTGACCATGCTTCACTAATTATATCTCAGAAAATATCATGGAATGCATCCATTTTTGTCGATTCAACAATTAGCCACACAGCATTTCATGACACTTAGATATGCATGCTTAATGTTATATAATATTTGAAGCACTAAGGCAATTTTTTAGTAATTCAACCATAGTGCTACTTCAGCATCGGATTTCAGTTTCGGTTTTTGGTCGGGTTTGTTATGAACGATTTTTGTTTTCAGTATAGTCATTTGTGTAATCTGAACTCTTTTAAAGTCTTGTAGTTTTGCTATCACTTGGCGTCCGTCGCCATCAGTCGTAAACTTTTTCAAAGATCTTCTCCTTGTTATTGAACCAATTTCAACCAAACTTAAATGAATGATCCTTACTTAGGATATCTAGTATTGTGGTTTTTTATTTATTTCGGCCAGTAAACAAACATAGTCGCCTACTCGCCATGGCAAAAAATAGAACATACGGGTAAAATGCATGATTTATCTTATTTCTTGAAAACCATTATATAAGAGACAGGGCGAAATACTCAAAATGTTCAAATCTACTTTCTGTATACTTTCACAAAAATTTTCAGATGACTCCTTAAAGGAGTTATTACTTTGAACTGAACAATCAAATTTGTGGTCTTTTATATCTAAAAACGCAGAACCTGTTAATGGCAAAGCCGCAAAACTACAATCAAAGTACTGAAGTACTGAACATCGGATGACCGCAGGTTCTTGTGTATGGTCAAAAGCACATGTCACAGAAACATCACATCTCTATATCTGAAACTGAGGTTAATTTACAGAGATTTTTTTTTCTGATACAAGTTCCTGCTTGGATGATGAATAAATGACAGGAAATTCAACCTCACCGTAATAACTATTATATTGTAGTGATACAAATCAGTATACCTTAGACTATTATACTAATATAATAATAGTTCCAGAGAATACACTGGTTTGTTGTTATATATTATATTAATATTACGGTTGCATGTATATATAATTTTCATCTATTTGTATATCATTCTATTCTACTATTATTATAGTGCAGTGCAAGTGCATGGTGGACACTCTTCTGTAAAAAAAATCAAAGCCTTAAAGGCTGTAAAAGCAATTGCTGCCATGTTAATGCTTTGTGGACTTTTATTTTTCATCCATATATATAAGAATTAAACCTGACAGGACAAGAGTGTTGACTAGTGAGAAGCAAGACGGTTTTAACTTTATATCAATAAAAGACTTTAGCAGGAAATCATTTTAAATATGTTTTATATTTCACAAGGAGACAACAAGTTTACCAGGCTAAAGTTGGGGTTAATTATACATGTGCTGAAACATATAACTAAAAAAAAAATCAATATGGATTGTCCCCTGGTAGTGTTTGTAACTGGGCAATAATTTCCTTTATTGATTTAATTTTAACAATTTTCATAATTAATTTAAATTAACCATTCAGTTAAAACATTTCAACTTTCCAGACGCAAATGTTGAAAAACGGGCAAGAAATAAAATATCTTACAAGACATAAACATGTAAAAAATAAATATATATATTTCAGCTTACTAAAAATATTTTCATAATGTTACTTTGACATCATTTCTTAAAACTAAGTCCCAAACATAATTGCTCAGTTGATATGTGTCATCCTCATGCGATACGAGATAACTATAATTCTGATGCAATCCCGAAAAGGGGGGTCATCACAAACAAACATGACATTAAATTGTCATTATACGAACTAGAACAAACAGCTCTATGTTGCTTTGGTATTTATCAATTTTCAGGAAACATGTGAAATAAATTTCAGGTCCATTTCATTATAGTGCCTAACAAGATTGTGTGAGGTAGACGAAATTGACCTTAAAACGATCGTATTGTCTTTTGATGTCCAAAAATAGGCAGATCGGACATATAAGGACTTTATCTAATGGCTACATAAATTTGGGATTTATTATTATTATAATATTCTAATGAAACTGAAAATTGTATTTTTTTGTTAGGATAAACAACAATTTTACCTGGCGTAGCCGTGCATAAAATGTTTTTCTGCGAAAAATGGCGTACTTAATGGAATAGAACGTTAATACAGTAAACTTTCTCTTTTTTCTCCGCAATAGGCTATCAAAAATAATTTATCTAATGTGTATGTGGAAAATTATGTGAAAAGATAAAAAGTGGCAATTGTTACCTTTCATACCTTAAGTTTCATTCATATGCCGCTATTATTGTTGTTGTTACCAATTATGTAAATCAATTGTATCTGATTTTATGCCCTTTATGGGCCCTGTAATTTGGAAAATACAAAAAAAAAATCTATTCATTGATAAAACGTAATATGGACTGGTCCAGTGTCCAGTTTGCAGGTCATTTAATTTACTGTACACATTCATGCACGCTCTGATTTAATCGATATACTCGTACGAAAAAGCATGAACAGTTTGAAGGTAATCTAATAATAACTTAATCCAATCAAATTGCAAAAGATTCAATAACAATGTCCAGTCCACATCATAATGAGTAATAGGGGTAAACTTGTAAGGGAGAAAATGACAGATATTTCAAGTTAATATTTATGCAATAACGAATTAAAATTTGTCAACCAAAAGTTTTGCTACAATTTCAAAAACATGTCGTTCTGTATGGGTATAGTTTTCGGATCTTTCATTAGCGTATTTAAGCCTATAAAAAGTTTGGGCTTCAAAAGTTCACACAATTATTGACTTTATACAGAAAATTCGTCCTTGTAAAACATTTAATAGTTCACAAATGATACGCGATTTTAAAGTAAAATTATTTCTTAAAACACTGCAAAAAATTTCATTCATATTGATAAAGTGGTATCGTCATAAAGTGCGTTGAAATGAACAGTGGTATAGCAAACATCGAATTTCCTCACAAAATGTTATCACACACTATAGTAAGGGGAGTCAGTTAAGTTTGTTTATTTTTAGATTACAGGTAATCATTTGACATTACGTATACAACCTGTGTAACCTGTGTAGTGATTTTGATTTTACGATAAATTCATGAATGAATGAACGATAATTTTATGAATGAACATGAGCACCTGACCTCTTTCTTAAACACCAATTAAACATATAAAACCGTATTTAAAAGGAGATAATTCAGTCAAATTTTCAGTACTAAATCAACAACTGAAATGATTCCATTTTTTGATGAAACATCGTACGAACGGAAAACGGAATCGCAGGTATAAAAATGCACCTTTTTCCCTTGTAATGACCGCGGATCTATAATTTTTATAGATCGGTTGAAATCCCAAAACTAATTTGCATAATGGAAATTTAGGCGATAGCAATACATCGGAATGACCTGAAGGTCATCCTCTGTAAAAATGCCAATATCATTGAAACCATTGAATTATCCCATATGGCGATAAATGACTAATTTTGACTAATTTTCGTACGTCCGTCTTAAACGTTTTCAAAGATCTTCTATGAAAGTTCTGAACTAATTTCAATAACATTAATTAATGATACCAATTTTACTGTACAAGATGCGCATTTTGACATTTAATTCTCTATAGAGATGCTCCAGGCCACATTATTCGAAAATCCCAAACCTAGTACAAAGGTTGAAGAGCCGATAAAACTAAAAAGGACCAAAAAACGATACCCGGACAACCAATATTTGTGTAAAGGATCTTTATAGTGCCAAGAAATAAAACGAATGATATCCGTTCAGACCAACCCATATGGCCGGAATGGCTAAAAATAGAAATACGGTTATATTATCTTAAAACCATTTTCGATAAAGAAAATCTGACAACAGCAGATCAGTTCAGAAAGTCTAGATCTACCAACTGTCAATTTAGACAAAAGTTGTCAGACGACTCCTTTAGTTAAAAGAGTTGCTTTTGAATTACTATCAACTCTCTACAGTTACAATATAAATTTCTAAAACGAGTCAGGTAAGCCACACATTTCGTTCTTCCCAATTTGAGAAAGTTTCTCACTCTATGGAGTGCCTAGTCTACTCGAGTTATTTTGTTTTTACTTTTTTAGCATATATCTAAGATGGTCAGTGGCATCGCTATATCATTTTTGTATTTCAAATCAGAAATCCGAGAAAAAATTAAAATCGACCTGGTTCCTATATCGAAAACTGGATAACACATGAATAAAATGTATACTGGATTATTTTTTCCTTTGTTCTTTCTTTTGCATTAGACTAGTGAGTACGTTTTACTCGTCTACTTATTTATTTTCCCAGAAAGTAAACACCATAATATTGTAGAAATTAAAAGGCTAATTCATCCGTTTCAGACAAAAGCAGAAAGTGGAAATAATCAAGGGTACCAGTTCTATCCAGCTGGTTCCTCCATGACAGACGGGACAACCAACAGTACTAATACAAAGTTTGGGTCATTTGTTTATGGCTTTACTGATGACAAGATTTACTACTGGGTACCAAAAGTCTCTCTATCAGGATGTGTTTTGTTACTGGGTGGTTTATGGGGTTCACAGAATCAACAACAATGTCAGAGTAACAATGCAAATGACGTGGCACTGATGATAACGTTCAATGTACTAGAAAATCAAGGTATGATGAAACATTTTTGTAACAAGTTTTTCCATATCCCTTCGCAAATGACGTGGAAACTGATGTCTACATTTAATGGGCTAATAATGGAACATCAAGATATGATGAAACATTTTCATAGCAAGGAGTCTTTTCTTATCACTGGCGGTTCTATTGTCACTTAGAAATGTATTTTTTACTTTTATGTCGTAATGACACTAGTATCATCTTATTTTGAAATTTCTTAAAGAACCAGTCCTATCTGTTCGTCTTACACCAAAATGAATAATTATGATTTAGTGAGCACTTCAGTGTTGACATGAATTATCACTGATATGGTCATAATTATAAATTAACCCTTTACAAAAGTTCAATTTTTTTCGAAATACTAAGCTTTTCTACTCCAGGAATAGATTACAAAAAACTTTCGAAATTTTGGGTCGTCAATGCTCTTCAACTTCGTACTTTATTTGGATTTTTTTAACTTCTTTTATTTAGCTTTTGAGGTTCAGATTTGTCAAGACATTATTTAAGATAATCCTAAGACTACACAACGTAAAGTTCAATATCTGAATTGGTCAGTATGTGGTCCTACACAATCCTCCAGAAGGGGCACTTTGGTGTTAAATTATTTGAACATTAAACACAGGATGCTATCTGATTGATATATACTGCTAGGACCCTTTAAGTTATTTAAACTATTACGATAATTATCACCGTTCTCAGCGCAACTTTTTTTAATGTTTTTTTTATCTGTCATTCTTTTAAAAGAACACAAATTCCGGAAATACTGGAGAAGGAAACTTTTGTTGTTCTTGATCTGACAAAAAAAAATAAAATTTTATTTTTAATTTTATCAGAAGCCATTGAACTATGACTGCCACGGGGTAAAATAAGAAAACACAAAATTCCAGGGGGTAATTAAACATATAAGAGGTAAATTAAAACGGACGAGAGAGTGCAGAGAAAAAGTAAATATCTAATTAAACATTTTTGAGACTATAGATATAGGAAGATGTGGTATACGTGCCAATGAGACAACTCTCCATCCAAGTTACAATTTATAAAAGTAAACCATTATAGGTGTATTTAGAATATAGCAAAGGGCTCTCGACCAATGAAATTGTAGGATTTGGTGTTTCTTAATTGTAAGAATGAATGAAAGCATGTTCTTAGTAAGGGATTATCCTATTGTTTAGGCATATTTACAGTTCAAAACATTGTGATTTGTAATTAAAACTGACTAAAAATTTTCAAACAAAAAAAAAAATGAAAATAAGATGAAGTTTACTGGTGCAGTAATATTGGTACCGTTAACGTTATTATGAGAATATTAATAACTTCAAATTACTAAGAAAAGTAAACAATATCAAAGCAATGCGAAAAAGAAAAAAAGAAAAAAAAAGTTTTAACAATTAAATAAAACCTAAATCTTTTCAAAAACTCAGCTAAATGATTACTGTATCCGCGGTTGGTGAGAATAGTAATTTCCAATATTCTGATAAAATTAAAAAAAAAAGAAATTAAGTTTAACTTTTGAATGTATTTTAAACTTTTAAAGGCATTGTATTTGAAGATTTCCCTGACATAATGAAGTATTATTTGATGTAAAAGGCTGGACTAAAGAAATGGCTGTAAGATAAAATTCAGTCGTAATTCAAATTTTGAATTTATTGATTTGAACTGGAAATAAACAAAAAGGTAATTCCTCGCTAAAATATTACATGATTTACATTCGTACTCACAATCAGGAAACATTTCATACCATTTCATTGTACTGTTGTGTCGTCTAATATCTAAAACACAATCTATTATATATTCCAAAATTATAAGAAAGTCCTTACATCACTAAAACTAATCCATAAATGAAATACCTAAAAAGCAAGTCATGCATTAATTATAAACATTGCACTGACAATGAAACTAATTCTTAAATACTACCAATCAAGAGATCATTTGAGCCTTGAGCACTTTACAATATTCTAAGTTTGTAAGAGAATGATAATCCCTTTCTTCATGATAAGTACTCGCTAACGCTCATACTTAATCGTGAAGAAAGGGATTATCATTCTCTTAGTATATGTAAGAGAATGATAATTCCTTTCTTCATGTATAAGTACGAGCGTTAGCGAGTACTTATCATGAAGTAAGGGATTATCATTCTCTTACAAACTTAGAATATTGTAAAGTGCTCAAGGCTCAAATGATCTATCAATTAGTTTCATTGTCAGTGCAATGTTTATAATTGATGCATGACTTCCTTTTTCGGCATGTCATTTATGGATAAGTTTTAGTGATGTGAGGACTTTCTTATCATTTGGGAAATATTAAAAAAAAAAGCGTTATAGATATTAGGTAACACAACAGTAGAAAGAAATGGTAGGAATTGTATATGTTTCCTGATTGTGAGTATGAATGTAAATCATGTCATATTTTAGTGCGGAATTATCCTTTTTTTATTTACAGTTTAAATCAATTAATACATTTGAGTTACAACTAAATTTTATTTCACAGCCAATAATTTGGTCCGGCTTTTTACATCAAATACTGTTTCATTATGTCAGGGAAATGTTCAAAAATAATGCCCTTAAAAGTTTTTAATATGTTCAAAACTAAATTCCTGTTTTTTTTTATCGGAATACATGTATTGGAAATAACTATTCTCCCCAACCGCTGATCAAGTAATCAAAGTTTTGGAAAGCTAAAAATTAAGGTTATTTTTTTATCTGAAAGATTTTTTTCCTTTTTTTTTGCATTGCTTTGGTATTGTTTAATTCTATGGAAATTTGAAGTTATTAATATTTTCATAATAACATTTACGGTACCAATTTTACTGCACCAGTAAACTTCAACTTATTTTGAGATTTTTGTTTGTTTCACAATTCAACTTTTAGTCAGTTTCAATCACTCTGTGATAAATCCTTTCAATCTGATAAATGTGCTTCGGGGCAGTTGTAACTCAATTGTAGAAACTCTTTGTTTTGAACTGTAAATAGACCCAAATAATAGGATAATTCCTTACTAAGAACATGATTTACATTCATTCTTCACAATTAAGAGGCATCCAATCCTACAATTTCATTGGTCGAGAGTACTTTGCTATATTCTAACATATACTAATAATCCTACTCAGCAGGCTACATTCTTCGATTAGAACAATGGTTATAAATTGAACACAATCAGAGTGAGTCATCTGTAACACACTCAACTAGTAGCAAATATCATAGGGCAAAATATGATGGACCCCGTAAACTGTTTTGCAGTGATGATAATTGCGATATTTGCTAAAGAAAAGGTCCGATAAAATTGCTTATTGAACAATGTTTTAGATTATAGATACAGTTTTCTTGGGATTCTTTTATATTGTTTTTCTTTGCAGCCTTGATGTTATACTTTAACTTTTAAATTTTGATTGCTTCCTCGGTATTTCTTACTTTTTGGCTAAAATCTTTTAAAAGTTGTGGTTTTAAGCTCCCTTCGGAACTATAAGGCTACAAGTTCCGAAGATTGACGCAATATCTTATAACACCAAAGCACACATGGAGCATAATATCAGTTGCTTGATCGTTGCTAACGTGTAGATATTTTTTTTTCTATTATTAGATATGCCTTCTCGGGGAATCGATCGAAAATTGTATTCGAATAAACACCAATACTTGATATATGGTCTTGAAAGAAAATTGTTTCGTTTTCATGAATGTGTTTGCAGCTAAACTTTTCCATTTTAATACATCGAAAATGCATATATGCCTAATTGAGTAATGTTATTTATATACTAGGGAACTGTTCCCCGTTTGATTGGTTTGTTAATTGTTAATTCCTCTAAATAGAAGAACATAAAATTTCAGTCTGAAATGCGTCAGTTCCTCATTTTCAATCTTATTTCATCTCATTTCTATCACTACGTTTCTTATACATATCTACATGTACCACCCCCCTTGGACACTATTCTGAAGTTCCTTTAGTATAATTACAACATGAAAATGAGGCCAACTAAAATTAATTAGTAGATTTTCATCCAGATTGTGGAAAAAATGGGGCGGGTGTGAGGATTTAATTTTTTAATTTTTATTTCCTCCTAAACCCTTTTGTGACGTGTTAATTGTTCAGATAGAAGGGTAATAATAAGCTTATATAATGTATATGTAAGGAATTCTACATTATTTTCAAATTCTTAAATTAATATTTCTGATGGGCAACCACTGATCTACATGTAATGGCCGCTTTAGAAGCCTATCTTTAATAAATAGCAAAAAACGTGGAAAAATGTTCTCTTTTAGACTCCTACATCAATTTTATTTTTCTTTTAAGCTATGATTTGTAGTGCTCATAAAATAAAGCATATGCATTGGTATGCAACACAAATATTACGAGTACAGAGTTAAATGAAAACTCAAACTGTGTTAAAAATACTAGGGTTGATGCTTTGAAGATTCTTATGCAAGGTGCAAATATAAATACAATTTAAAACTGAACCAAAAAAGAAGAAGTTGTTTAATGACTCTATTAAGGGGCTGGGGACAGAGGGTGTTTGCTGTTTGTCAACAAAAAACGACAGCCTTGGGTAAATCTAAGACGGCTTGCTATAGTACATTTTGTATGTTTGCCGACTCTTTGTACTCAATATATGCGGTCATAAATCGCACAAGTTCGTGCTTGTGTCAGTTACTTTATTCCAGTCATGTTTTTGTACCAATGTGTTCCACGATTCTTGCACTTTGGATATTATTCACAGTCCAAATTCCCTGACACAAAGTCATTGTATAAATAAAAAAATCTACGGTTTTCTAATCACTGAAATTTGTGACATACCGCGATTAGTGTTCTTGGACACCGCCTATTACTCATAACCCGAATATTTCATGCCCTTGTAGTAATCAATCTATATTCTCAGAAGATAATGTGGTCATCATTGAGCAGCAGAATATGTCGACTTAATCATTTTGGTTATATTACTCGAGGAGAAATACGAAAACTGAAATTTGAAACAGGAAGTTTTGAATGAAAAGAAATTATCGGCG